AGATAAAGTACTCACAAGGAACTCCTTGTGTGGATTTTCAGACCATTCCATTGAAAAATGTGATTAAATTCATCAAAATACCGAATATCGGGGGGTACCGTTATATGGGGGCTATACGATATCGTGGACCGATATTGCCCATCTTCGAACTTGTCCTGCCTGCATACAAAAGAGAGATCTGTGCAAAATTTTAGCTTCCTATCTTCATTCGTTTTGACTGTAGCGTGATTTCAACAGACGGACGGACGGAAATTGCTAAATCGACATAGAATTTTATGCTGATCAAGAATATATATACTTTGGGGGATCTAAAATGATTATTTCGACGAGTTACAAACGGAATGACAAACTTAATACACCTTCCATACTCTGTTTGGTGGAGGGTATAAAAAATATCCTCAAACATTTTGTTCGAGAACCGATCCTCACTTTTCTTTCCCTTTTGCTTTCAGGGAATTTATTTAAATATCCCCATCAAACTATTGTCAACATTTCATTAAATGTGACATTCAATATTCCCTTTTTATTCATCCATCCATCAACCGCCTAATCCTTAAATATTCTTTGATGAGATGATCAACCGATATCCAAATATTCCCCAGAAAAATAGAGGAGATCTAAAATTCTCTCTCCAAGAACTCCCTTCCCCCTCTCATTCCTTAAAATGTCAATCAGCATCTTGTTAGAAAATTAATCCTTTTATTTGATCGAAACATGTCACAGTAATCCCTCACAATGCTAGGTAGGGAGAAGACGTATCAGCTTGTCATCTCTCGTTTTTTTGTGACACAATTTCGGAGTTGCTTCATGTGATCCTTTATCAGGCATTTTAAAGAAAAGAGCAATCCTGCCATAAATATCCCTTTTTTCTAAATTTGTTTTAGAAGGATGTTGATGATTTCCATCCAAGTAGAACGAATTGCGATTGTTATGCAGATAATCGTGGCAATGATGATCAGCGTTTTTTTATTGTCCTTTTTGGTGTGTATTTGCTTGTTTTTCGGCTGTGGCTATGCAAACAGGTAGACATGGCATGACGAATTAATGTTGAATGAGATAAGAATAGCAAAAGGAGAAGATGGGTGGTTGAGGTAACAATGACAAGGTCTGGGTAGGACTTTGTGATGTCTGCCGTCTCAAAAATTGCAATATAATATAGTTTAAAAAGGGGAAAGACGGAGGGAAAAGGATTAGGAGAGAATCTTTTCTAGCAAAAGACAAAACGGAAGGATTAAATTTTATTTTAATCCTTCTATTTTACATCCAAAATATCAGGAAGTTCTGTTATGTGAAAGAGGAGTCTCCGCCAATACTTTAGTAAAAATTCAGAATATTTTCAATACCGAAAGATATTGATTCAATCTTTCTTTGTCTTTCTTTTAATACCAGGTCTTAGAGGAAATTGAATTAAAACTGTGCGAATATTGGGACTCTCTACATTTCTTCTATGAGAGACTCCTTGACCCTTAGGACACTTCGGACTTCCTGGCCTTTAATTCGTATATAGTATTTTTACAGGCCCTCAGCTTTATGGCACTTCAATTATGGAAAATTCCTAGTCCTTCATCACGACTATGGTGAATTCAAGGAACTTTGACTGATATATAGAGGCTTCCTTGCTCCCTGCCTCACCTATGTAAACACTCTGGCCTTTTTTCCATTGGTTCACCTACAAAGACTCCCTTCCCCAGCCCCACAGTAGGTCTCCAAAGACTTCCTAGCTCTTCAGTTCGTCTTTGAATACTCCCTCGCTCTCTACGTAGGCGTCCTTGCCCTATATTCTATAGAGAGCCGCTGTCCCTCCAGACCATCACAGACTCGCCTCTAAAGACTCGCTAAGCATTCAACATACCTTTTAAGAAACTTCCTGTTCCTCCTTTCGTCTATGAATACTCTGTGCCCTCCAGTTCTTCTTTAAAGACCACATGGGCCTCTGGCCTTCCAAGTCGTCTATGGAGTCTCTCTTAACCATCAGCTCGTCTATGGAGACTTCCTCGTCCTCCAGCTCGTCTGCAGGGATTCTCTAGCCCACCACCTCTAGTCTGAAGAAACTCTCTGCCGACCAATTTGTCGATGGGAACTCCGTAAGGCACCAGCTCATCTGGAGAGACCTTCTGGCCCTCCAGCTCACTTATGGTGACTCTCTGGCTCACCAGCTCGTTTATGGAGACTCCCTAGTCCTCCAGCTTGTCTATGGAGTCTTCCTGGCTTTCCAGCTCACCTATGGAGATTCATTGGCGCCTCTCTGACCACCAGCTCATCTACAGAGACTTTCTGGCCCACCAACTCATCTGCAGAGACTTTCTATGAAGACTCCCTGTCCCATGAGTTCGTCCATAGAGACGTTCGGCTCTCCAGATATATTATTCCCAATTCCCCTCAGCTTGTCCATAAAACTACCTGACCCCCGAATCCTCTAGAGAACATCATAGTGGCCTTAAAACTGCCTATTGAGGCTCAGTATGCCTTCGGCCCGTTTCGAACGCCTCAGCATCCCTTTGGCTCGCCTGTAGACGTTCAGCGCCTCTCCAGCCGGTCTAGAAAACATTAGTGTCCCTTCGGTTGGTCTAAAGAGCCTCAGCCCCTCTTACCTCGTTTATAGAGTCAGAGCCTTCAGCTTACCGATAGAGCATCTGCGTCTCTTTAACTCTTTTAGAGAGCCTCGATGATCCTTGAAATAAACTATGGAGCTTAATGTGTCTCTTGAGCTTGTCTAGAGAGGCTTTGATTACTTCAGCTTGCAGAGAAAGGCTCAGTATCCCTTTAGTTGACTATAGAAGCTCAGAATCCCCTCGTCTAGAGAGCCGTATTGTCTCTTCAGCTCCGAGATAATTTCATCCCACCTTCAGCTTTCCTAGGGTGCCTCAGCGTCTCTTCAGCTCTTCTGTAGAAGTGTAGTGACACTCAGCTCGACCTCGACCCGCCTTCAGGTGCCCTATAGAGCCTCATCTGGTCTGTAGAGCTAGCCCTCCTTTAGTTGGTCAATAGACTCTCAGTGAGTTTTCAGCTCCCTTAGAGGGCCTGCCCTCAGGTTGCCTATTGAGACTCAGCATTCCTTCAGTTCATCTGTAAAATGTCAGTGTTTCTACAGTTTGTCTAGAGAGCCAGAATGCCCCTCAGCTTGCCTATCGGGGCTCAGTTTCCCTTCAGCTGGTCTAAGAGTCTCAATGTTCCCACACCTCGTTTAAAGCTTTTCGGTATTCCTTCAGCTCGCCTAAAGAACCTCAGAGTCTCTTCAGCTTGTCTATGGAGCTTCAGTATCCTTTACTGCTCCTTCAGGTCGCTTATTGAGTTTCTTCATCCCTTTTCTCCTCTAGAGAACATCAATGTCTGTTCAAATTTTCTTAAGAATGTCTGGGTCTCTTTAGCAATTAAATAGAGCCACAGTCAACCTAACCCTTCAGCTAAGAAAGTCTCAGGATGTCTTGACCTATTAAAGAGAACATCCGTCTCCCTGGTCCTTCTGTCAAGAAAGTCTTCTGCTCGCTTTAGTTCGTCTATGAAATACTTCCCCATCCATCTGTTCTTCTGTGTGGAGTCCTTTGTCCTTCTCCTTACTTGCCCCTCAGTCTTTCGACTTTAGACAATGTTTCTCTCTCTTACCGCTTGTACAGCTTCCTCTCAGCTTTCTTTTAGGAATTGCTTAGCCTCTAAGGAGCCTATATCATATCTCTCTTGTTTTAGCTCTTTTTTCTAAGATCTCTCTGGCCTATGAACTCTTCTATATAACCTTTCCGATTCTTCAGATCGTTGATAGATTTTCTGGCATCTCAGTTTGTTTTTTTAATACCATATGGCGGGGTGATATTTTGTTCAGCTGCGTAATTTAGTATAAATTACTGGAAATCATCCTCATTTAAATGGCAATTTGCTTCGGTCATCTGTATCTATTTTTCTGCATATCCTTAAGGCATCTAAAGGATCATTATCGCTCACAAAGATATCAAATGTGTATCGCTTGCCTTTTAAATCAAAATACCCATATCTTGCTTTTAAAATCAAATTGCCTGCATATTTTTAAGGGGGAAAATCGTCCATCTTCTCTTGAAGGATCAATGCATACAACATTTGCATTGTCCTTACAGGATTTTGATTAAATGCAAATTTTTCTGAACAAAACTCAAAAAATTCCTCAAAATATTTGAAACAAAAGAGAAATTAAAAACCATGCCCTGGTATGGCCTCCCCAAAGAACAAGAACAAAATTCAGGACAATGGAACGAAAATCTTGCGCTCAATTAAATACCATTGTCCGGTAACAATTGAAAACAATGGGTAGAAATAAAATATTAAAGACTACAAAAAGAAAACTCCTCTCTCTGAAAACAAAAGATCCTTTTAGACAATTAAGGACATATGCTGAACATATCTACAATATTTCTGGTAAATGAAGCGAGTCAGGACAATAGAAATGAGGATCGTCGTTTTGTAATTGGAGATGTTTGAATGGCAGTCGAGAAGAAATGCCTTGAGACGTGAAGAAGAAGAGATGAAGACCACGTTTCAAACTCCTACAGCTATTGTGAGGAACATGTGCGTGAGAAATGATCCTGGCAAATTGTCTAAGCTGTGTTGTTGTTTTTGCTGCTTCATGCCTTTTCAATGGGCATGTTATGCGTGAGCATTGTGATCATTTCATGGTTTCCCAGGCCAGAAGAAAAAAATAAGGGAGGGTTTTGTTTGGCTGAGGAAATAAGAATCTTGTGAAGATGTTAGCTAGACCGTAACCAGTTGTCAAATGAACGCTTGTGAAAGAATGCCAGCTCGCCTTGTGGTTCGGCAAAGTAAACCAGGTAACCGGATCAGTGACAGTACCTCTCAGAGAGCTCTCACACACATTCGTTTGGTTAATCTTTTACAATTGCCTTTGTTTGTTGGGTTTGCTCTCACAATTTGAGTGTAATTCTCTCTCTGTGTTTGTCTCTCTCTCTCTCTCTCACCCAACCGGCATGATCAGTATTTCATATTGTTGATGTGGTTAGGCCATGGGTTTGTTGTGCCGCACAGTTCAGTTTACGACGAGAATTAAGAGGCTTAAGACGTGTGACCAGTTCAACGGCTCGCCCAAGCATAAATATTTACGCTTACGTTACGACGTTCCATTTACGATCTTTACGTTTTTCCTCATCACATTTTTTTTTTGTATTATCATTTAATTTTTTTTGAAAAACCGCCAAAAGAAGTGAAATATATAACAACAACAATTACAAAAAAAAGATACACAATTATAACTGCAAATACACAGGCGTAGAAAAAAAAATAAAAACAACAAAAAGTTCAGAAAAAAGTAAATACCCAGTGAAAGTCAAAAGACAAGATAAAAATATCAAAAGAAGAAAAAAAAACACACACAGCTCTAGCAGAAGAAGCGCAAATACAGAAATCAGTCATCAACCACAATAAAAAAACAGCAACAACAACAATAAAAAATTAACAAGAAAAAAAGTTATAAAAATCCACCATGGAAAGAATAATACGCTCATTAAATTACGATCTGCAATTCGATAAAGACGCCCAGCATATCTTGGAAAATAGTCACACGGATCCCAGTACCACGCATGCCATCACTTTGACCTCGACACCCACCGTTGCCAGTTTGGATACAGCCCACCAACCCATTGTTGCCTCCCAGCACATTACCACCACCAGTGATTTCCTCTCCAAATTGGGTGCCTCCATCATCAATTCCATACAACTGCAGACGGCTCCCCTCAATCTACCCTCGGAATCCTCCTCGCCCATTATCCATCCGGAAAACATGGATTTCTCCAATCTCACACCCCATCACGTCTTCATCGATTCCGGCAACTATGACACAGCCATGGATGAGCTGCAAAAGCAGGTGGAATACGATCAGTTTATGAATGAGGTCTGGATTGGCATTGTCTTGATTTTGATCTTGATTTCAATGGTGTTCTGCTTCTGTTCCTGTTTCCTCTATCATCAGTTTCGTGTTTGGAAAAGAAATTGTAAGTATTCGAAATGAATTTGCAAACGATTTGAAATTCTCAAAACGTTTTGTTGTTGTTGTTTGCATATAAGTGACAACTATTTATTTTCTAACTGCTCCTCCTCCTCCTTGTTGTTGTTGTAAAACCAATATGAATTTTAATTTCCAATCGAAATGGTGAAAAAAAAATCGTGAATGATTACCAAGTTTTTGAATTTTAATTTATTGTTGTTTTTTTGTTTTCTGTTTGGACTTGGCTTAAAAGCCATTACCATCCTCTCCCAAAACGGAAGTGAAATTAACGCAACAATTAGAAATTTTTTTCTTGTTGTTGTTTTTGCTTTTCAAAACTACAGGCAGTGAGTTAACAAAAAAAATATGAAAAAAGAAACCATAAATTACCGAAATATTCCAAACACCAAAAAAAGTGGAGTTACAAGTGTTTTGTTGTACAGACAGCAACAACAACAAGAAATGCATTACAAAGAAATTTTTGGGGTTACAATTTGAGGGTTTTGAAAAGAAAGACATTTTTGGAAGCGTGAGAAATTTTTTGAATGACAAAAGAAAATAATTTTGAAATTTTGCTCCAAATATGGGTCAGGGGGATAATAATTGGAGAAATATTAAAGGAAAAATATTAAATATTAAAATAAATTATTTAAAGAAAAAAATTGAATTTTTTTCACAAAAAAAAAAAATATTGAAGTAAAATTTTCAAAATTCATGAAAATTAAGAAAATAATGAAAAAAAGTTCAGGGATTTGAGGGGAAAGGCAATTTTTTCCAAATTCAAAAATCCTAATCTCTTTTAAATTCGTGAAAATTAGGAAAAATAAAGAAGGACTATTCGAAGACCTTCTCTATCCTCAAGACCCACGGTTGACGTTCATGGGTCTTCTCTTTAAGAGGATACCCTTTAGAGACTGCGGCCCCCTTAGACAGGGCTGGTGTGTCAATTTTATCCAACATTAATATCAAAGCTATTATAAAACATGCCCCTGCCTTGATGATAACCCAAGTTTGATCTTTGTTAACCAGCGCCGCGAGGATAATGATATTGAGAAATTAAGAAAGAAATAAAGAAGGTTAGGGATTTAAGAGGAACGGCAATTAGTTTATAAATTAACATTTCAATGCCTTCTATCTTCTGAAGACCCAAAGGCAGCCCTATATTTGTCGATGGCCTCAATAAGATTGTCAAGGAAGAAAGCATGATAGAATATGCTATTTATAAAAAAAAAAGTTTATAGCTTTCCCATTTAGGAGGATCTCCTCAAGAACATAAGAGAAAATCTCTCATCTCTAGAAGGTGATTTACCTGCAGAGGATCTATAGTAGGTCTTCTATTTATAGATAAAGAACTTTGGAGAGATATTCTGTCTCTAGAGACCCTTTAGACTTTTAGACGTTCTCCTGGCCATAGAAGCCCTTTAGAAGGTATTCTTTCCTTGGAAAGATTTCAGATGGACTACAAACGATTTTTTTTCATGTCTCTGTTCATAAATAATCTATTTCTTCCGAAGACTCGAAATTAATGCACCTTATGAAGGTCTTGGGAAAAGGTTTTCTGTCTCTGGAGATCCTTAGAAGCCCTTCAGATGGTCTTCCACCTTTTATTGTCAAGTATTATGTCTTCTGAGGACTTCTTCTTTAGGACTTTAATCTATAAGTTATTTTCTCTAAAGAAAACCCTTAGAAGACCTCTAAAAATCTCGTGTCATCTGAAGACTTCCGGAAGTACCTATGTCCTTAGAGGACCCTCTAAATGGTTTCTGTCCATAAAATATTCTCTGAAGTTCTTCTGTCTATTGCAGAAACTTAGCAGCTTTTTTTACCAATAGAAATTATTCAAAGTGGCTTCTGCCTATCAAAGAAATATGAAAGTTCGGTACTTAGATAACCTCCAAAAGTTCTTTTTTCTCTGTATAGAAGATTTTCAAAGGATCCTCTGTCTATAAAATACCTTCCAATATATATTCTCGATCAGCATTACATTCGATGTCGATTTAGCGATAATCGTCTATTGTATATCTGTCTGTGCAAATCACTCTAGCCTTCGAACGAAATTAAGTAGATTGATAAAATTTTACTCAGATGTGTTTTAGGCATGCAGGACTTTTGGTATTTTTTTTAAGTTTTAGTCAACAATTTCAAACAGAATAAATTGACAATTTTCGTTCCTTGCATTGAACTGCCCTTGTTATAGCCCTTCATAGAACCATACCTCCCGGTATTTGGTATTTTAACGCTTTTTGCTACATTTTCCAATAGATTTGTCTAAAAATTGCTATTTGTACTACCTCCTATGACAGAAAATTGCTTCGACAGATCTACGCTTTCGTGTAGCCCCCATATAACAATACCTTTCGATATTCGGTATTTTTTAAGATTTTGGCCAAATTTTCTGTTGGATTTTTTTCCAAATTTGGTATCAAGAGTTTGTAACAGCTTCTACCTTTGGTGGCAGAACATTGTCCATATAGGTCCACGTTTTCCTATATCGACCATATTACAATACCTTCAAATATTCCGGATTTTTATGATTTTGGCCATAGTTCTTATAGATGTGTTTCAAATTCGGTATTTTTAGATCATAATGGGTTCTACAACCGGTGTCAACCACGATTTTCAGTATTTTGATGATCCTAGCTACATTTTCCACGATGTTTTGATACCTGTATTTAAGACTCCCAATCCTTGTTGTGGAACATTATTTCCCTTTTTAAATGACGCCCAATATAACGGTTCAGCTCACTTTATTGTTTTTTTTTTTTTGTGAAAATTTTAACTGCATTTTTTAACGGATCTCTCTTGTTTTTTTTTTAATTAAGTGAGGGAACACGTTTGAAACCATATATATTTTTATTTAAATATATTCAAATATTCCAATTTCAAACCGCAATTTCACATTAAAATTTTTAATGTTTTTTTTTAAATACATCTGATCCAGTTGATTTTAAAAATAGCTGCGACCACTTTCACAAGAACACAAGAAATGCCGCTCATCGATAAAGTTCTTGTTATACATTATGATAATTGGCCAATGAACCGAAACTAGTTGGCCAATGAGAAACGGTACGATATATGCAAAATATATGCAGATTTTATGGCCCAAGGCGGATAAACAATGTCAGATATAATGTCAACGATTTTAAATATAAATGCAAATTTCGATTTTTTTGTTTTTTTTTTTTTTTGGAAAAGAAGAAGGGGAGGAGAAAAACAATAATTTTTATTGATTTTAAAGCAGCATAAAAAGAGCGCAACTAAAAAAATATATAAAATTTGGAAAATAATTTTGGGATTTTCAAGAATCTCCTGATTTCTCTTAAATGCCCTTGGGGTCCCCGAAATTATGTTTTTTTTTTAACAACAGGTTTGGCTTTTTTCCTCATAATTTTGAAATTCCAAAATCCTTTTGATTTTCCCCGAATTTCCATTGGAGGTCCCCGAAATGATGTTCTTTTTAATAAAGTACGCAATTTTTGTGATATTTGCTCACCAAAAAAAAACCCTGACACACGCTTCTATCCAAAAACAAAATCCGCTGATAAGTAATAACCCAATTTTGGCCACTGATAAGTTATTGTTTTTATTTTTGCAAAAATCTAAGGCCATAAATTTTGTTATTAACATTACTTTGGCTTAATTTAAGTTATCAAAAAAATTTGTTTAATCGCTTATAAAAATCTCAGATAGCGTAGCGCTGGATGAGAGAACAAAATTCAAACAGAATTTTCTAAGGTTGGGTTTTTATTTTTTTGGCAAACAGAAAAATATGGAAACAAATGGCGAATATCAGACATTAGAGTGATATCACATTTAAGATGACAGCTGTCAGTGGCAAGACATCTCAGAGGGTCAGGGGAAGAACAGGGTATCTACCTCCTCCTAAGTCAACACACATACCATCTGAGTAAATATTTGCCTTGGCTTGGTTGGAGATGGGAGAGATGACAAAAAAAAACAAAAAACTAAGGCAAACAGTTCTTGTCTTTCGTTTAGACCAACAAACAGTTAAAATAAATATTTAAAATAAACAACAACAACAAGAAATATAACCATTATCTATTTTCAAAAACCATGTTTACTGATGATCATCTTTTCTCTTCTGCCTTCTCTACAGATCGCCACACAATGACCCAAAGTGATGATGAGGATAATATTAAAATCAATTTGGATATGGAAGATCCTGTTCCCGAATACACTCTGGTTTCCGGTCTACCCTCGTATGAGGCAGCATTGGAGCTGCTGCACAAGAATCCCCAATCCTGTCTCATAGTTCATCCCAGTGTTTTTGAGATTTTCAATGGCAATGAAAAGTCACAAAACATGGAGCAAACAAGTGTTTCCTCAGCACCTGGAACCCCCAGCAGCGAGGCCATGGCCTTGGCGGAAAGTTCCACACCTTTATTGGTGGAAAATTCCAACAAAACACCCACCGCTTTTGTCCTGGCGCCATTGGTATCATCGGCGGCCAATGTTGTCACAGCTCCCCCCTCGCCACCACATTACAGTTTGACTAGCATAAATTTGGTAAATGAAAAACCTTCAGCTCTGAAAACACAGTCTTCAATGGAAAAGTCCTCTGCCTCGGCGAAATCCAGTGATAAATCTGAAAAGTCATAAATCGAAGATGAGAGTTGCAAGACTTGGATTCTGTCATAAAATCTAATTCCCATAAGACTGTGATAATAGGAAATAATTTAAATCATTATTTTACCAAAGGCAATGGACCAAAAGATTATTGAGGAAGGAAATATCATGTTTTCCTTAAAGGATTACCACTTCGGGGACAAAAGGAAGAGCCCAGATCCAGGATTAGAAACATAAAGAATTTGAAGAAAAAAATTAAATTGGCAAGTCTAGGTGAGAAGGTATCACCACCTTTGGAACAAAATAAAAAGGAATTTAGGGAACTGATTTCGAGGCAAATTTCGGAAACACCCACACATTTGTAAATCCCATGAAAATCTGTCATGGAACTTGTAATCAAAAATCATTCCCCCAAATTTTTAATATGCTCCAATCAAGTACTCCCCCTTATCAGTCACTTTTTAGTCCATTGCACAAACAAAAACCCCAAAATATTTTTATAGAATTATTTTTGTATAGTCCTAAACTGTGATTAATCCATGGTCAACCACATGCCCATGTGTGCGTGTGCACATGTCTGTGTCTTGACATATTTTTTTCTACTTAAATTATTTATTTACACAAAAAACCACAACCAATTTAGACTGTATACAACTTATTTTTATCGCTATGTATAAATAAATGTGTGTTAACTAATTCTAAGTTATTTATAAAAAAAACATTATTTCAAAAAAATATGAAGAAATTAACGAAAATAAAAACATAAAATTATGAATTATTGAATTAAAAAAATAAAATATTGTTTCTTTTTCCCAAAAAAAAAGAAAAAAATGGGGATCCATAGAAGACATTGGCACTAAGTTTTAAAAGAGAATTTTTTTCTTTATAAAAAAATTGGGAACTTATAATTGTCCCTTTCATAAACAAGGCCCAGTGGATAAAAATTATCTAGGAATCCACCACAGACTCAAAAAAATAATCTAAAATTGGAGAGAGTTGCACAATTATGCTCTCTCAATTTTTTATACTCTCTGATTACATTGTTTTTTAATGGCCCTGATTGAGAGATCGGATAAAAATTACGCTCAGTGAAGACATGCCTGCCTGGCCGTGATCTAAAATAACCAGAGCTCAGTAACTCATTCGAGTTCAAGTAGAAAGTGAAAATCGCCCGAATTTTCACATAAAATCGGAAAGTAAAGAGTAAACTTGGAAAACTTGTTCTCTCCAAACACTTCCGAGCGCTCTTGAACAAATAGGGCAAAAGAGGCACAAAGAAATGAAAATCAAGATTTACCAGAAAGAAAGGTAGAGATGGTTAAAGAGAGAGAGAGAGGGAGACTCTCAGTCATATGGCTACAGTGGTTATCTATACTTCGCACGAGTTTTAGTGCTCTCCGAGTACTCTTGAGCGAACAAGGCAAAATAAAGGCACAAAGAAATGAAGATCGAGATTTATCACAAAGTACGATAGAGATGGTTAAAGAGAGATAGATATAAATAGATAATTATTCAAAAGTTTGAAACTTTGTGGTGGAGGTACTTGATAGAGTGCATCGATTTCAATTTTCGCATCTCACCTACCAATAATTAAAATTTATAAGGATTTGAAATGTTTGGAAAAAAATGGTGGTTGTTTTTATGAGGTAAATTATTTTCTGTGCACATTTCGACCTTTTGTGGGGGTGGTACCGGAAAGAGTGGATCGATATTGTCCATCTCCCAACTCAAACTAAGTTTGATAATGATATTACGATGTACCAGCTTTAAGCCAAATCGGAGACTTACAGACGGACACCACTCTAGATTGACTACAAATGTCCTGAAACGGATTTGATTCAAAGAGGCCTAGGGTCTAAAGCCTTTATTTCGAGGAGGCACTTTTTGGGCGTATCAAAGAATATATAACCTCTGTAGAGTCTCTCTCTTCAACTACCTCTATCATACTTCTGGGAAATCTCTATTTTTGTTAGAGGTGTACCAGAAGGAGTGGACAGATATTGTCCCAACTCGATCGAAGTTTGACAATAATATTACGATGTACCAAGTTTGGACTAAATCGGAGACTCCCGTTGAGAGTCATCGTGCGACCAGACAGACGGAAGGACATTCGGACACCCCTAGATCGACTCCAAATGTCCTGAAACTGATTTGATCCAAAGGACCTAGGGTTTCGAAGAGGTACGTTTTGTCCGTATAAAATGATATATACCCCCTCTCAGAGAAACTCTCAGCCATATGGCTGAATAATTATCTATCTATAGATATAAGAGAGTAGTAAATAACTGACTGACTGACTGGGACTCAAAGCCCAGACGAAATGGCTGAAATTTTGCACGAGGGTCAGTCTTGGTGCATGGGCGTGTTATAAGGCTGGGTTGTAAAGGGTGGGTGTAAAAGGGTACAATATTTACTAAAATTTGATTAATTTGGACAAAAAACAAATAAGCTAGAATTGTGTAATCTAGAATGGGAGTCACAGGATATGTGTGCCAAAGGGTTTTTTAGAAATTGAATCCTTAAGGTTACGAAAAGTTCTAAAATTGGTATTATGTGAACATATAGCGCTAAAAACTCTTTATTTGCTATGGAAATCAAGATTGGAAAGTAAATTTAATAGATGAAGGTGGTTTTGGAAATGTGAACTAAGTGTGCGAAAATGTGTACTAAATATATGAATCTGTACAAAATTTGTACGAAAAGTACAGAGGGGTACTATATTTGGTTAAAGCTAAAGCTCTAAAATTCGATATTAGGAATACTGATGGTGTTTGAGAGTTGCCGGTATTTTAGAAATGTGTCCTATTTTGTACTAAAAGTTCCAAATGGTACTAAATTCGCTACAGAGTGAAGGGATGGAGCGGAAATTTGATATTTATATAACTAATTGTGTGTGTGTGTGTGTGTTTGAGATTTGGCGGTGATTTTGGTAATGTGAACAATAATTGTACGAAATTTACTAAATAGTACTAAATTTGACACCGAGTGAAGAAATAGAGCTAAAATCCGGAAATTTCCCATTTAGATTACTATTGGTATGTATGTTTGAGATTGAGGCAGTGGTTTGGACGTGTGTACTATATTTGTAGGAAAAGTACTAAATGGTACTAAATTTGGTATAGAGCTGATATACGGAAATATGATATTGAGTTATGGTAATGATTTTGGATATGTGTACTATAATTATATGTAAAGTACTAAATAGTACTAAATTTGGTATTGAGTGAAAGAATAAAGTTAACATCCGGAAATTTCATATGGAGATGTCTGTTGATATCTGAAATTGAGATTTGTCAGTGGTTCAGAAATATGTACTATAATTGCACAAAAAGTACTTTATGATACTAATTTTTTTTATTCGATTAAGGTATAGGGCTATAATCCACAAATTTGATATCTCTGTTGGTATCTGGATTTGTCATTTGGCGATGGAGGACTATAAATAACCTTTGGAAATCTACCAAAGACCAGAAGATTTAACAAATTCATTGAATTTTCTTCATAGAATACTTTTAGGACCCATTTCAAGGCGTCTCCTTGCTATAGCAAACCTCTTAAGACTTCCTGCCTCTAAAGTACAAAAACCACGTCTCATGTTTTTATATATTTTTTAAATTTTATTTTTTATTTTTAATTCCATTTATTTTTCTAGTGAATGAATCCGAAGATCTTCATACGTCTGTCATCACTCATAATTTATAAATTCCAGTGAATCACAAACCTATAAAACTGAATACTAGATGTCAATAAAAGTGATTATAAATCATATTATAGAACAATATTTTTATTTTCTATTTCTACGTAACCACATTCTTTCTAGTTAATTTAGCAATTACTCGGTTTAATTTTCATAGCTTCCACGTGCAACCCTTATTCACGAAAACTATAAAGCCGAGTAGATTCTAAAACTTTTATTATTTCACTGAGTTTCTACAACTGGCTAATGGCTAAATAAAAGCCCCCCGAATGCGGATTTGGTCAAGGAAACGGGTTAAGCTCAAAATGTCAAGTTTCTCAACACAGAAGATTCAAATAGAAAATAATACAGATTTTATGGGTTTTAATTAATTAAAAAAAAAAAAACACACACAAACAGCTCATCGTTTAATTTAATGATCCACGGCTAGAGAATACCATAGCTGGCAACAAAATGCCGTAAACCCGTTAATATAGCTTGGCCATAAATAAATACCTGATGGCTTACAACTAAAATAAAATCGTAACAAATTTTGGGCATTTTGGTATTTTGCCTCATAAAATTGTAAATTTATGATGAATTTATAATTGGGGGCCCCTGCTTGGCCACACATTTCCCAATCAATCCTAACAACCATCCCAAGCAGACTTTAGGGGTCCATTTGCATGTTTTTTTTTTGGCTCTATTCCACATTTCAAAATATTTCCTCTCATAGCTTAGGCTTAATCAAAATTATGTTATCATTTTCAATTTGGATGTCAAATAAATACGGCGAACATAACTCATGTCCAGCGCTGGAACCTGAAATGCATTTCGAGAGGGTCTTTTAATTAAAAGTCCATTTTTTTAATTATGAAAATGTGTTGTAAAACATGTCGCTTACACTGCACGGCCCATGGCCATGAAATTTTTGTTGTTGTATTTCTGCTGCTGCTTCTTCTCTTAGCTGTTATTTTTATTCCAACAAAAAAAAAACTTAAATAATAATTTCCTACAAGTGAAAGTGGCCAGTTGGTGGTGGTGGCTAGGTAGGAGCAAGAAAAACCAGCAGCAACCTTCCATAATAACCGAAAACTTAATTTATGGCCGAACAACATCTTAAAGGCCTGGTTCAAGCACAAGTAACAACAGCAGCAGCAACAACAACGAAGACAACACTAGGCAGAGATTTTCCATAAATTCCAACTACAACTGTTTATGGAGATAATAATGGACAGTGGGGACCAAAGGGAGAATATCTTAGCTGGGGGTTTCTTCCTTAAACATAGATGGGCCTGAAGCTCTTTTATTGACCGATAGATGAGCCTGAAGCTCTTTTATTGACCGATAGATGAGCCTGAAGCTCTTCTATTGACCGATAGATGAGCCTGAAGCTCTTCTATTGACCGATAAATGAGCTTGAAGTTGTTCTATTGACCGATAGATGAGTTTGAAGCTCTTCTATTGACCGATAGATGAGTTTGAAGCTCTTCTATTGACCGATAGATGAGCTTCCAGCTCTTCTATTGACCATAGATGAGCTTCCAGCTCTTCCATTGACCGATAGATGAGCTTGAAGCTCTACTATTGACCGATAGATGAGCTTGAAGCTCTTCTATTGACCGATAGATGAGCTTGAAGCTCTTCTATTGACCGATAGATGGGTTTCCAGCTCATCTATTGACCGATCGATGGGCTTCCAGCTCTTCTTTTGACCGATAGATGAGCTTGAAGCTCCTCTATTAACCATAGATGAGCTTCAAGCTCTTCTATGGACCTATATATGAGCTTCAAGCTCTTCTATGAACCGATAGATGAGCCTGTAGCTCTTCTATGGACCTATATATGAGCTTCAAGCTCTTCTATGGACCAATAGATGAGCCTCCAGCTCTTCTATGGACCGATAGATGAGCCTGTAGCTCTTCCATTGACCGATAGATGAGCTTCCAGCTCTTCCATTGACCAACAGATGAGCTTGAAGCTCCTCTATTGACCATAGATGAGCTTGAAGCTCTTCTATTGACCGATAGATGGGTTTCCAGCTCGTCTATTGACCGATA